CGTCCTCAATCTTCTGCAATCCTCATCCAAACACCTTCAGTCTCCATCACCAACTACACACCAACATGCCAGCGAAAATATCTGATGAAATCTTGCGACCGCTTGTGGAAGAAGCTGTGGCTAACAACTGGCCAGCACAAACAGTATGCAACACTGTTTGGCAACGGCACAACATCCGAGTATGTGTAAGAACTGTTAGAAGACGGATCAAAGAATGGGACTTGAAACAACAAGGAAATTATGATGTGGAGGTTGTAAAGGATGCAGTATTAGATAATTACAAACAATCTCTGAACCAAAAGCAAGCTCTCATTGCCCTCAAAAACAAACACAACATCATCATCAGCCGGTCAACTTTAGCTCGAGTTGAGAAGCAACTCAATCTTCACCGCCAAAAGGATGATCTTGACATGGGTGTAGTAACATATGCCACCGTATGTAACAAGATTGAAGAACTTCAGATTGAATATGGAAATGTACTTGGAATCAAGAGTATCAAGAAGATGCTAGCTCAGGAACACGAGCTTCACATCCAACGGCAAGTGTTTGGCCCTTCTTGATTCATTTTGCTCTGATGCTAATTACATTCCAAATCCTCTTTTATATAGTGATGTTATTGCGGCTATTATGAAGGCAATGGACCCAGATGCTGTCAGAATGCGAGCTGCTCATAAACTCAAGCGACGGGAATACTATGCGGGCGGTCCCAATGAGGTTTGGGCTTCCGATGGACACGACAAGTTGATTAACTTTGGAATTGGTATATATGGTTTCATTGATTGCTGGTCTCGAAAGATCTTGGGACTTCATGCTCATGTCACCAACAGCGACCCCCGCCATGTTGACTTGTGGTATCTGGGGCTTGTAAAAAAGCAAGGTGGCATTCCCAAAAAGCTCACCACAGATCGAGGAACTGAGACTGTTCCTCTTGCGGGACATCAACTTTATTTCAGAGAAACTTACGGTTCCAGAGCTCCAAACTGGCCGTATCAACAATATGTTCCATCCCCTTGTAACCAAAACATTGAGTGCTTCTGGGACAAAATGACTTGTGGACGGACTGGAAATATCAAAGCTAAAATTCAAGAGCACATTGATCAAGATTTATATGATCAATATGATCCAATGGCTAGGTGAAGCTCCTTTTTTTTCTTTGGTGATTCCATGCTGAAATCTTTATTGTTGCTTTTCAGGGCCTTGTTTCTCCACCTATTTATCCCTGTCTTTCAACGAGCTCTGGACAAATGGGTCAAGTTTTACAATGGTTTCTGCAGACGATACAACAAGCGGTCTAAATTACCTACGGGATGTTCACCTGTGCGCACCAGAACGCACCAAATGTATAGGATGATACAGCCTGATGTATCATCGCATGTACTTAGAAAAATCCTCTATAGAATTAGCTAGTTGCTAGCTGCTCCTAGGGTAACCTGCAGCACTCAACAAAATTGGCTAAGTCCCCACTCTCACAAGGGGACCCCCTTTGCCGCCTCACGTACTTACAAGTAATATTACTACCTGAGCAAAACAAATTACCACTCCAGTAAAAAGCTCACCACTTCAGCAAGAAACTCACCACCGAAGTTCAAATTTCACCACCACACAAAAAAATCACCACCGAATCAACAAAAACTTACCATTTCACACAAATATCACCATTGAAACAACAAAATCACCATTACTTCACCAATATCACTACCAGATTTGAAATCTCACCACCGCATGAACAGAATCACCATCACACCAAAAAAGTCACCATTGATTCGAAAAAAAACTCACCACCACATCTAATGATTTATCACCGCATCAATTCAAATTACCACCTCAGACCAAAAACTCACTACCTATACACCGCATAACCTCATTATAATTAACCTCGCGGCCTCTCATATTACTACTCACAAGATGTCTCCTCAACATTCAATCCCAAAGTCTCATCATTTCAACTCTTCAAACCATTCCATCTGCCATTATCCATCTTCAAGTATAAACTACGCATCGTTTCAGACTTAATTGCCAACATGCGACCTGGACTTCGAAGGGCTCGGGCAGCGTCCTCGCCACCTCCTTCTAGTCATGACCCTGATTCTCAAAGTGACACTGGCAGCGAATGGCAGTTGCCTCCCTCTATTGTTCGACCTACCACTCAACGTAACCCTCTACCTATCACTACAACCGTCCGCCAACAACGAGCGACCGAAAGTCAAACTCAAGCTCAAGGACGAACCCGCTCTCGCAAACGAGCACGACCCAACGAAGATGATGATGACAAAATTGAACAAGACGAAGATCACGCCAATGAAAACACAACAATCGAAAATGATAACGCTCCTGACGCTGACATTGACGACACAGTGCCCACCTTTAGCAACTACCGAGCCTTGGGCCAAGAGTGGGGAATGCCGCGCGCTGAAAAAGAGCTGGCGTCACTCACCTTTACGAAGAACAACCGTATATCTGCCACCGGTCTCTATGAAGCGCAGGCTCTTCAATCCAACTATGAATTGGATAAGACGATGCTGTGCCTAGTCCTGAAGTGCAGCCGACGAGTATTGGATGGAGCTTTGTAAGTAACACACCGTTCCCTTACCTCCCTGGACGGAATGTCACTTAACTAATATTACAATTTCTTACGATATCCTTACTAGACTCGAGGGACCATTATCTCGGGAGCCCAATATGTATACCAACTATCAAACCTATAGCATTGCGGCCACGAAAACTCCCAGTAAGCACGATTAATGAGCCATACAAATCCTCCACTAAACAATCTCAATTCTGCATCTCCCTTAGTGCCACCCAAAGGTGTATCAACTGGCTTTAAGGAGCGCAACGCGATTGTCGGCTCCACGTGGTCCTCCTACAACGATGAAGAACACGAAATTTTCACTCCTCGTCTATTTGAAAGATTATGTGTGGCAACGAGCGAGGCTTATGCACTTACTAAGACCCCTCTCGGAATCAATCCTTGTCTTCCGGTTGAAGAGGCGTCTACTAAAACCCCGGCTTCCACCATAGAACCACTTAGCGAAGAAGAACTCAATCAATATGTACCGGTTTTTGAGCGCCTGGTCAATCTGACAAAAGTCTCCCACGACTTGTACCAGGGTCGATTGTGGAGACACAGTGGCAAGTACAAAAATCAGTCCATGGAGAAGCTAATGAACTTCAAAATCAGCAAAATTATACGCCAGGTAAGATCCCTTCAAATAATCACATGTAATCCTACTTACACAATTATCCTCCATCTGTGATCAATTCAGCTACACGTATTGAAGGAACACTTCAATCTCCAATTCCACCTGCTTGTGGCAAGTTGGAACCCAGCCACTTCCGCACCCCGTGCTCTTTTTCAGGAAGAGTATACCTCTTGTGCACGGTGGGCCCGTGATCAGCAAAAGGTCCATCTCCTCGAGTGTTTTGCTTTCGAAGCAACGAAAGCTCCACAGCATCTGCGCTCTAAACGACTTGATCCCAAGCCCATGTCGGAAGGTGCAGCGCGTCAAGGACAAAGACGCATGGAACTTGCGCATGCCCTTAATGATTTGATAGGTGAGCATTAATCTTAGCTCCTTTCTAATGCAGTATCACAGCGCTGATGAACACTTCTGAAAAGCCCCACATCTTCGTGGAGGATATCAGGGCAGAGGTGATGCACATCCCAAAGTCCCGAATTTGAAGGCCGCCTTTGCAGCCAAGACCTTCCGCGGGGATATCAAGCTCACCTTTCAATGCACTCCTCAGAGCCGTATCACTGACCTCATGATCTCCAAGGGCCCTGGTCACCTTTCAAATGACGAAGTTGAAATTTGGATTGATGATATCAGATTGAAAAATTACACCATTATAGCCCTGCGCGCGAGCTCCCATATAACAAAAAGCGAAAATGACGAAACTAGTATGTCACAAGAACCATCTCAAACCGATTTAGCCGAGGAGAGTGTTAGAATATCCGAGTGATTACCCACAAAACACAAGTAGAAAGAATTTTATTATTTTTGGTCTCAACTATCTTTTTCAGTATTAACCTACTCAATTGAGTATCTTTATACTTATTCCAGTAACCACTCGTTTTTGTACGGATCTAACCATAGATTAGAACATTGGAGCTTTTAGTACCTTACTTGAAGATTCCATTTATTGTCATTGTTGGTAAATATTATCTTTGGCAAGGAATAACCATATTGTCAAACTACCCATGGTTGAGTAAATACCATTTATAAATTTTCACACCGGTTATGTTTTGTGTAAAATCTTTATGATGTGTACACTTCTATACATACCATACATAAGGAGTAACTACTTGTTACGTAGTGATTTCGCCTCAATATTCAAGTCATATGAAGGTCTTAAGATAATAACTCTAATTACATAAACATAAACACTCTCTAGCCCTCAGTAAGTAGTATTGTTCCAATATTTAAGTATTATACCATCAAGTTACAAGTACCATGTGGCGGTAACCTATTTGTTTGTCCGCACACCCCACCCTTCGCTCCGACATCCCATATCGTTTCATTCATCTAACCAATCGCTCACTGGTAAGTTTTTCCATTCTTTCATTTCCAACTCGCTCGCTGTGATTGTTTGTATTCCACACGGTTGCAACCAATCAGTTCGATCAAACACTAACAATTGTAAACTTCATGAACAGGGCAATAGCAATCGATCAGTCATCCCTGGCTATATTGGATCATCTTCGGACATAAATACTCTTCGCTTAGTAAGCCATGTTTTCAAAGCGCCCTTTCATTCATCCATTATCAGGTACCTTGCGCGGATTAGAAGACTACTTAAAAGAGTGGCAGGTTTTGATTTTACTTACTGGGTGGCATACGGCTTCTGCATAACCTGATGTCTACCCAATTGTTGTGAAAGATCTATTTGCCCCTTGACGAGTTTTTTCCGACTCCAACCAAGGTACCTATAACTCCATTCAATACTGACTGCATGCTTGTCTTTGTATGTGATTGCTTTTGGACATTTTAAACCCAGGTAAAATGTCAACGGACCTCGATCCTGGTTGGGAGAAACGAAAGAGGGATAAATTCCCTGTTGTTTTGAATGCGAAGTAAGGTGATATCTACAATGTATTTGATCGAAACAGCAAACTAACTTCACCCCCTGTTCAGTGACTCCTCGGCATTGCCTGGTGTTAAATTTCTGTCAGATTTGCTGAAGCCAATTGATGTCAAGCGCCAAACTGGTTTCAGTGATAACGATGTAAGCTGCTTTGTTATTACTTCGGCTGCGATTCTCGTTCATTAACATCCTCACTTATAGCTTCCCCAACCTTTCCGTATGGCGAAATCTTACGCTCATGTCCCTCACGAGTTTCTCGCACCAGATGGCTTCCCAAGCACGGGCAATTGGCTTAATCCCGCCTGCCAATTTGCTGTACTTGGGCCTGATGGGATTTTGGGGAAAGGAAGACTTGTGTAAGCAAAACGAAGCTGTACCGCTATTTCGAATATTGGTACGAAGGACTCTAACTGTTATGCATTTACATTACAAAAACCATTTTCCAGGCAAAGGGCTTTGGATTACTTCCACGAGCAGGGTTATGAAAATGTACCCGACCCAATGCCACTTTCTGTGAAGACACATGGTGATAAAAAAACCGGGACGTGAGTAAAACTCCTACGTCTTTAAAAAGTGTACTAATATCGAATTAAATTCTCCCTTGTCCGTATCATAGTCGCTATCCTGCAAAGGCTGCCATGTTCATGGCTGCAAAGCAGGCCGATCAGTCCGCCCACTCGGTGAAGAGAACTTTTGATCGCAAGTTCACCAGGTTCAACGACCCAATTCTACCATTCGAATCCCACGAAAGGACCATGGAAATCATCTCAAATCTCTATACCGTTGTCACTCACGGTTGTGGACAATTCGTTGATCGGGAATCAAAGAAGCTCATCTGCACCTTTTCTTATGAGGACTTGGAATCTATTACATCTGAGGAACGTGATGAACACCAAAAGGACGTAAATACCATATTAATGGCTACAAAGTTATTCAGAAGGTTACCACTTCCTCCTAAAGAAACTATCCTAAATGCACCGGCTATATCGACTGCTCCTACATCATCTTCCAGGATTAAAGTACCCTTTGCTGACGTAACGCAAGCTCTCATGGACGAAACCCTGCCCCGGTGCCTAACTCCTTATGAAAATCAAACGCCATCCCCTCTTACTTCATTGGCCTCTTCACCCCTAAGTTCTCTCCCACCTTTGGAATGCGGGGATACCGAAATGATTGATGTTATGGTTAATGCCCCTTCCAAGGCCTCACCTGCTGATCATATTCATTCATCACCACTCTCCTCAGTCGATTCATCGCCTCTATCTTCACTCCCACCTTCGGATTCCGAGGACACTGACATGGAGGATATCGAGGAATCCGTTAGGGATCATGCTGAAGACCCTACTACACATTTAGATCAGAGTTCGACCGCGGTGAAGCCCAAGAAAGCCAGGACAACGAATGGAGCCCTATAGCGGGGAAGATGGTGGATCCT